ATCAGCATGTGACTGCAACTTGTTCCTGTTCGAGGACGACTCAGCCCTGCTGGTCTCTGACAGGAGCAGATTGCAGGTTGAAAAACCATCAGCTCCGAGCTCGGCAGAATCTGCACCTGGCTCGCCGATAATAAATTATCATTACAACTGGGTAAAACAGAGTCCATTCTCTTCGGTTCTAAACATAATCTCAGCAAATCCGACGACTTCTCAGTTGCAGTGGGTGACATTATTGTCACAAGTAAGAAGGAAATTACATAGGATCTATTCTTGAGGCAAACCTCTCCTGTGATAAAATGCCATCCAAATGTAATAAAAAAAGTAAATCAAAGAACTAGATTCCTATACCGGATCTCCTCTCTGGTAAACAAAAACACCCTGAAAACTCTTGCAGGAGCACTCATTCAAGGGTACTATGACTATGCTTGTACGTCATGGTACCATAACACCTCCAAGGCGCTAAAAATAAAACTTCAAACATCACAAAATAAACTGGTCAGACTACTGCTTGACCTTTCATCTAGAACCCACCTCACCTCTGCCCACTTTGACAACCTAGGATGGCTTAGAGTAGACGACAGAGTACAGCTACTTGCAATGGGCCTGGTCTACAAGATCCACTACACCTCTATGGTACCCATGTACATGTCAAAATTCTTCCCAAAGGTCAAGGAATACCATGATCATAACACCAGAGGGAGCTCCACAAATCATGTAAAACCCAGATTTGGCACAAAAAAAGGGGAATACACGTTTCGCAATTATGCCACATCAAGGTGGAACGCTCTTCCCACTACTGTAAAGGAAAGTAAAACTATACTTACCTTCAAAACCTCTCTTAAAGAGCACCTTCGGGGGAGAGCATTGCAAAACTGGCTCCGGTAATGGTACAAATCTCAACCTGTCGTACAATGGACAGCTTCCCCCCCCCCATCTATGTATATACTCGCATTTTAGACTCTGTTACTAACTATATCTGTAGACTTTGTATGTCTTAAATGTCCGGTTAGGATGTATTAGAACGAAATCTAAAATGAAATTTGTAAATAAGCCATCTGTATGTAAAAAACCACCTGTATGTAAATTGTAAATAAGCCATCTGTATGTCAAACATGTCTTGTAGGCCTATGTCTTAAATGATATGATGAATTGGAAATGGGGGACCCTGATGTAAACAAGACGAAAGTCTTTCTCTGGTCTGCATCCCCTTAACAATTGTATGTTTTGAGCTGTACTGTACTGTACCCAATATACAAGCTGTTAATAAACTTTTCAATCAATCAATCAATCAATCAATCAATCAATCAATCAATCAATCAATCAAACCACCTCTGATCACAGTAGGGTTTGGTGTTGATATGGCTCTATACAGTGTAGCGTTGCTGCTTGATATTCTGCAGATTTTTCACATGTGCCTGAACGCAACACCCTCGCCTTGTGGAATGACGTGTCAAGAAAGAGCCGGAAGCTTCCAGTCTGTCCAAAATGGCTTACCAGACCCTACAGCAGGAGTATTTACAGATTCCTGTTGTTACACGGGCATATACAACCGCCTGTGTCCTCACGACTGCTGCAGTGGTAAGACACATTCCCATGTTCTCTGTGTGTGTTTGGTGGGGGGGCTGTTAGCCTGCTGTCGGCTAACATGGCAGGCTAACGTCGGTACTGAGCTGCTAGCTCGGTGCTGTAGCTCCAGCAGCTGAGGAGAGACGTGTCCCTGTGTGCTTCCTCAGGGGGTTACATATCTATGGTAGTCTCAGGGAAGCTCCGTGTGTCGTTCCCTGACAGCAGAGCCCTGTTATATATGGCCAGTGAGGCTCAGCGGGGCTCCTGGAGGGCTATGTCTGTCTGTCTGTCTGTCTGTCTGTCTGGTATTCCTACTGCATTCAGGTCTTTTTTTAAAATAAGTTTAGATTTTATTTTCAAGATACCTACCTACCTACCTACCTACCGTTATGTTTTTGAGACTAGGGTTTAATGGTTTGATACTTTGCTTGGCTTTTTGTCAGATGAATATTAATGTCAGGATAATTATTGTACAAAACATGTTCATTTTGTCTGTTCTCACAGCAACTAGAGATCATCACACCATTTCAGCTCTACTTTAATCCGGATTTGATTCTAAGGAATTACCAGGTGAGCATTCTGAACCGCTGCTCATCCTCAACCTCTGCAGATCCCACACAGAAACATTTCACACACTTCACACAGCCTTAATAACTCAGCTACCTGTCTCAATAAATATAGAATTGTTAACATTTAGCTGAAATGAAATTGCCTTCATGTGTCTACTACAGCTCCATAATTATGCTCGTATATTGTCTGTAAATCGTGTCCTGTGGTGTCCTCCTAAGAAAAACTGAAACTTGAAGGGATACATTTCAATTGTATATGTTTGGTTTAATGATTGCATCTGTCTACGTAGCTTTATAATGACACAGCCAATCAAATCAAGCATAAAGCAGTTAGGTCTGCGGCCTATGACAACAACAGCCCCCCCATGAACTCTTCTGCTAAAGTCTCCTTCTTATCTCATGCACAAAAACGTAACTATTGCCCATTGGCTACCTGTCAGTTGCTGTCAATCACACGAACGCACGCATGTACACACACACACACACACACACACACACACACACACACACACACACACACACACACCTCTAGCTGGATGATATTGAAAGGAGCAGTTTTTTCTTCTATTTAATATATTAAATACAATTCTAAAAACTATCCACATACATTTTGTTCTACACAAATGATAACTTAATTGGATTTCAGAACAACAATAAGTTAAATCAATGTTATATGATATTACATTAAAACTGTAGTTTACCTAGATCAGTGGTCATCACCTGTGATTCAGACAAATACAATGAGTTATTATATTTGTCTTCAATCTACAGTTTCTGATACACACTCCTGTGAGCCTGATATGTATCCTTCATGTCATGTGACCTGTTTCACATCTCTGCTGGCTCTCTGCAGCTCTTTGAACACTTAGAGCTCAGGTAGTTAACAATGAAGAAGGCAGCAAGCAACAACAAGCATCTTTCCATTCAAAGCACCTCGCCCTATGTTCCCATTGAGAGCAGCTAACAGCTCTAGCTCCAACAGGGTTTATATGGAGAGAGAAAGTCTTGATGTTGGATATTGACAGCCCGTCCCAAAATGATTATTATGAATATAAACACTGAACATGACCATTGTTATCAGAGCTCATGCAGGTAGACATGCAATCATTTCAGTTGTTACCATCCTGCAACATTCACAGATGCCATATTGTTTTCTTTTTCATTAGAGCACATTTATTGGTTGCTGTTTGGATGTTAGGAGTATTTCCACAATTCTAACTAAAAGATGTTTCTAAAATAGCTTTAAACACAGCCTCTAAAATGTTTGAATGAAGGAAATGAGCAGGATTTATTTGCTACTCTGTGTTTTTATCACGTACAGATGAATGTTCTCTTTCTTTCTCTTTTTGTAGGTATGGCGACTAATAACCAACTTCCTGTTTTTTGGTCCAGTTGGCTTCAATTTCCTGTTCAATATGATATTTCTGTATCCTTCTCAGTTCCACGTCTCACTTAGTTTGCATGTGAAGTATGTTTGCATACTTTCTGTTTCACAGGGAAGGCCTGCATGTGGTTTCTGACGTGGCAGGACAGTGTCAATATCATAGACTGTATACATAAAGTCAATATTATATCATTCAGATCCTAATGTAGGAACAATGATACAAATACTATGGTGTGGCACTTCTTCAGTGTTAAGGTGCAGATGTGTTCAATGGTTGTGTTTCTGTGTAGATTTCCTTAACGCTTTGTTGCAGGTACAGATACTGTCGCATGCTGGAGGAGGGCTCCTTTAGGGGCCGCACGGCTGACTTTGTCTTCATGTTCCTCTTTGGGGGGCTTCTCATGACTGTATCCTTCCCAACAATGTTTCAATAAAAGACCACTCTCACATGCAGGTAGTGAGGTCTTTAGAGCAGGGGCGGATCTAGACAAATATTCATGGGGTGGCAAGAGGGTGGCAGGAGAATTTCAGGGGTGGCATCCCCTGGCAGAAGTATATGCTGATTTAATCTCAGTCATATCAATCAATGTTAACTTGGAAAGCCACAATATTGATATTTTAACTCAATAACATTAGGTGACATTATTGTAGCACATCAGTAAAGCCTTACATATAAATATATAAGGTGGCAGACATCATTTAATGAACTTTAACTGAATGAGTTGGTTTAACTCTTAGACCAGCAGGGGTACCAAATATGCAGACTGCTGCAATAAGTACATTAACTGTCTCATCGATGTGTGTCTGTATGAATATGATAATATTAACAATCATATTATTCCTATCAGCTGTCAATCACTGTTATGATTCACATCTTCAGTGTTATTATTAAATAAACTATATTTTTTGGAGGAGTTAATGATGAATGTTCCTCAAGATGCTTGCTCACCCTCCTTCGAATTTGAAAGACCAGTAATTACTATCATAATTCAAAAGATTCAAAGGAACAGTTCAGCGCCCCACAACTTCATTGCAAACAGTTACAACCTTGACTTTACATCAGAAAGAACAATTAAAGAAATGACTAACCGCATCAGTTAGGGTTAAAAAACGTGTATTCAGCTAAAACATACATCGCTGCAGTTATTATCCAGTGGAATGCCCGTACCTACTGGCCTAGTTAAATCAAAGTGGTTACTTTTTTTTGGCTGGGCAGTGAAGTTTTACACACCGTCTTATTTGACTTTCTCAGGACTTGAGACTGTTTTTTGGGGGCAGACCCCCACAAAGAAGAAACATATATTTACACATGTAAGGTCATCATCTTAAACAGTTTATTATTCTCATCGACTGATCCGTGAGCAGAGCATCAAGTTGGCATGTCTATAACAGCTGAATGTGGCGATTACCGTCTTGATCAGCAAAACGCCACACAAAGTTATTAAGATTTAAATCTATGGTGCGTTTTGATTCAATGCTGAGTGCAGCCAAACTTGACAGGCTCTTCTCAGCTCGCGTCTTGTGCTGCATCCACTTGCACTCGGACATTTGAGATTTTCTCATAAATGTCCGATGAGCCACAACTTTTCTTTCAAAACAAAGCTGCCAAATGGGGTGGCAGCTGGGGTGGCAAGGCATTTTTCTGAGATGGCAGCTGCCACCCCGTGCCACCCCGTAGAACCGCCACTGCGTTTAGAGAACAATTCCACAACTTCTTATGCATGCATGTAGGCCACTTAGATTATAGATGTCCCTTGATACCAGAGGTGGAAGAAATACTCAGATTATTTACTTAGGTCAAAGTAGAAATACTACAGTGTAAAAATACTCTGTTACAAGTAAAAGTCCTGCATACAAAATCTTACTTGGGTAAAAGTTGTTAAGGAAAGTACAAAAGTATTGGCATCAAATGATACTTAAAGTACCAAAAGTAAAAGCACTTTTTATGCGTAATGTCCTCTTTCAGAATCTCCTATATTCGATGACTATTATTATTCATGCATTAATGTGTTCATCACTGCTGGTAAAGGCAGAGCTCATTTAGTTTAAAAACAATTAGTTTAATATATTAACCTTTAATTATATATCATAGTTTATGTATTTGTTTATCTATATGTTGTATTAGCAAATAATCTGAATCTGTGAAGTAACTAGTAATTCATTGTGTTGAATATATGTAGTGGAGTAAAAGTAAAAAATGGGCTTTTAAATTGTAGTGGATAGAAGTATGAAGTAGCATAAAATGGAAATACTTAAGTAAAGTACAAGTACCACAAGATGGTACTTTAGTACAGTTCTTGATTACTGACCAGTGACCACCACTTAAACGTCCCCAGCTCAGACAGCTTCATGTCATGTCATAAAGGTGCTCCATGTCAGCTCGTGCCAGACACCGACATGTTTGAGTTCTCCCGTAACCCTCCATGTCCAAAGTCCTGTCTGTGCCACGTTCTTTAACCAGGTTTCAGATATTTGGAACGTTTGTGAGTCTGGTGTTCCTGGGCCAAGCCTTCACCATCATGCTGGTGTACGTGTGGAGCCGGAGGAACCCCAACGTTCGCATGAATTTCTTCGGCCTGCTCAATTTCCAGGCACCCTTCCTACCCTGGGTGCTGATGGGATTCTCACTTCTTCTGGGCAACTCCATCATTGTGGATCTTTTAGGTACCTATTCCTATTGCCTGCAGCCATTCTTCAGTATTTCAGTGATGTGCTAAGATCCAGAGCGAGTTGTGGTGGTTGGTGTTCTACAGTCTGAACAGTGATGGTGTTAATGTGTTTAAACGTTCTCAAGGTATCGCTGTGGGTCATGTGTACTTCTTTCTGGAGGATGTTTTCCCCAACCAGCCGGGTGGTGGAAGATGGCTGAGGACCCCGTCCATCATGTGAGTCTCTCGGGTCTTCTTACATCTCTGGTGAATAAAACTGATGACTGAAGATGTAAACATGTAAGATTCAGAATCACAATACCTTTATTCATCCCACGGGGGGACATTGTTACAGCAAAAGTAAAGATAGAGGTTAAAAAATCAATTTAAGATTAGATAAAAAGCATGCACATAAAAAAAAAATGTATACTTTACAAAGTACACATTCAGGTAGAAAAGTAGCAGCAGCATTATTTATGAACTAAATGAAGAGTAACAGAATGAAGTGTGCTAGAAGCTAGATAACAGAGTTACTGACAGATCCTAGTTAGAGTATTGTTCAATATATTTTACACCCTACCATTTTTGAAAGTGTAGGAATATTTTAGTTTTCCTCTGAGGATCCTGAACCTTCTTAGCTTTGACTGATTGCTGCTCTCGATCAGTGTTTACATCCTCCTCTGCCCCCCACAGAAAGATGCTGTTTGACACACCAGAGGAAGATGCCAACTACAACCCCCTGCCGGAGGAGCGCCCGGGGGGGTTTGCCTGGGGAGAGGGACAGCGCCTTGGAGGTTAAGCGGCCCCCAGGCAGTCCCTGTCTATCAGGTCACTTCCAAGGACATTCCCTCAGAGACATGAAGGGACAAACATGGTCTTTGTTTCTGACTTGTTTGATTAGTTGTGGATGAAGAATGCCAAACAGCCAGAGCTGCTTTTGAGATAACCGTCTGTTGTCTTTGTGTATGGGCTCAAATCATCCCCAGAAACTCTTCTTGAAGCAAGGTGGTTGCTCTAAGACTATTTAAGAGAAGATCTCTTCACATGGAACTCTGCAATGAGAGCCTCTAGGCTCAGGTGATGTTCGTCTTCATATAAAAAAAATAAAAAATTATATATAACAACTGTCATATGAATGACGGTGATAAAATAGCAAAGTGGATTTATTCAGATTGCGAGTGCATTTTCTTTCTCATTTACCTTTTTAAAAAAAATAAATGTGTGTGGCAAATGAAGCTTTGGTTTTATCTCTTTGAACTGCTGCAGTTTGGCTGGAAACCAAAGATGTCTCAACAAGGAGATGAACTGATTCATACAAATAACATGAGGGTCAGTAGACCCTGTAACTCTATTCTGTGACACTGCAGGTCATTGTTGAATACAGATATCAACATTTGTACTTTGTCCTCAACTTTAACTTCTCATCATCCATCAATTACAGTGACACAGCTGAATTAGCTTTGTATTCCTTTATACAAACAGCCTTAAATCAGATACATGTAGGTTTGTCTTACGCTGAACGGATGAGTCTCATGTGTATGACAACATCATTTTGTATGTTACCATGTGATCCGGTTCACTGGCCATGCAGCATGTGGGAATGGATTATAAACCCTGATGAAGAATGATTGGCTCTTGAGAAGGGTTCCAATAATGAAAGATATGTGGTGATGCATTTGTCGAATTGATAGTCGGAATCAACCCTTTTATTTTCTTTATTGCTGTACTGAATCATAACATGTGGGCCTTTTAATGTAGTTTCTACTAATCTGGGACTGTTGTAGAGCAGACTGAGATGAGTAATGGACTGTAATGAATGAATATGTTGTTTTTTGAACTTCCCAATAATCTTTAGAAAACAGCTTTACACAGTTTGATTTTTCTTTTACAGAATATCATTATATATGCCATGGAAGCCAAGTTATTATCTTATCTAAAAATGCACTGTATTTCAAAATGATGTTAACATTTGTATATCATTTATGTACGTGCTTTGAGTGTCTTGTTTTGATCTTACTATTACAGCATTTTTATTGTATAAAGTACATTAGATTTATTTATCCTAAACGATATGGCAGATACACATTAAAGTTAACTTTATAACTTCAAAGATTAGTTCAGTGTGATCTCACTGTAGATCAGTGGGGGCGCTAACGGGCTGTAGATATTGTTCCTCTACCTTGTAACGAAAGAGTAAGTCAAATGTTGCGTTCGTAATTTTCGGAAGTCAGGTTTTAAGGGATACATCATTGATGTGTTCATGGATGATATTGTATATGCGGTCGTGTCCAACAGTGGCTTAGGTTAGTTGTAGTTTATCTTTCTGCAATTATACATTTAGTGGGCAGTTGTAATGCTTCTAACTGGTGTTTGCTAAATTCCACAGATGAAGTGACATATTTGATAGGAGGTACTCTTATTTCCCAGCTTTATTGTAGATCCCAAACGCATCTGAAAGAGCAGGCTTGCTTTAGCAAAGCGTGAAGATGCAACTGGCTCTAAGTAAAACGTTTGGCCAGAAACCAGTTAAATTTCAATTAGAAGAGGATGGAGACTTTTACATGGTTGGGTCAGAGGTATGTGACTATCTTTTCTTTAACTCTGAGTGCTTAGCTCCGTAATGTTAGCCTCGGTTATCTATTATTCTGGCTAGTTGATGCTAGCATGCTAACCAGCCCATAGATTCATAAACAAAGAAACACATGAAACCAGCCGGAGAGCTGCCGCTCAACGCAACATGTTCGATTCTGTTCAAAAGCTCATTAATAACAGCTAACAACATGAGCTTTTGCTGTTCTGCTATAGAGATGATAGCGTGAGATGCTATAACATTAAGTTGCATCAACCTGAAGTAACGGTAACGTGCAATAGGGTAACTTACATCCTTTGAGAATAAATGTGTTATCCCCTGTTTCTTATATTGATATGGTTCATCATGTGAACATTGAAACCACTTTTGAAGCTAAACCACTTAAGATGTTCATTTTTTTTAAGCAATATAATGCTTTTTATTAATGTCCACAGTAGTAAACTGTACTTTATGTACATTCTAAACCTTCACATATTGGACAGTGGTGAAATGTACTCAAGTAATGTACTTTAGTATGATTTTGGGGTACTACAGTTTCTGTTACTTTGTACTTCTACTTCACTACATTTCAGAGGAGAAGTGTATGTTGTCCCTGGGGGAGAAGTTCCTGTGAACAGCTGGTCCCAAAACACCTCTGCTCAATATATCTTTCAAAGGAGAGAAACACTTGGCAATCAGTCATTCATGTTTTTATAGTTGAAATCATACTTTATTAATACATGATGTACTTTATATATTTCCTGTTGATCAGATTCCAAAACAGTGATTCATTGTAATTAGAAGTATTTAAAATGTAGATAACCTTGTTTATTATCTTCCTGATAACCAGAGAACCATATGGTTTTATTTCATTTTAAGAGAAGATTGGTGTTTCTTGAGGTTTTTATTTTTCTATTTGTTTGTTGTTTTTCATTTTGGTTTGGTCTCCAGGTTGGAAACTACCTGCGTATGTTCAGAGGATCTCTGTATAAGAGATACCCATCTTTATGGAGGAGGCTGGCCTCAGTGGAGGAGAGGAAGAAGATCGTAGCATCGTCACACGGTGAGTCTCTGGGGTTTCTACACCAGATACTAGGGATGCACCGAATATTCGGCCGCCGAAAATTATCGGCCGAAAATGGTTAAAAAGGCTCTTTCGGCTTTCGGCCGAAAGGGTTTTAGCACCGAAAAAATATCACCGAATGTCAGGGAACAGGGTTACGTTGGTAAGCTAACGTGTTGTTGTGATGACGTAATCAAAACGCGGCGACAAGCACGGCGCGCGACCATGCTCGCGGCTGGCTCACAGCCAACATGTCTGCCGCTTGGAGATATTTAAAAATATCAGAGAAAGAGGCGCGGATTGCGATTTGTAAAACGTGTTCAGCTGACATTTCTCGAAGGGGTGTAACTGCAAAGACTTTCACCACTTCGGGATTACTCCACCACTTGAAATCAAAACACCCGGACAAATATGCGGAGTAAGATCAAATCACAAGCACTGACAGCGAGAGACTGTTCAGCGCTGCCTCTCATGTGCTTGATGAGAAGAGGAACAGACTTATGGCTGATAAAGCAGAGAAGCTAATGTTCATTAAAAAGAACCTCCCACTTTTCCTTAATAAGTAGACAAGGCTGGCTTATCATAAGTTAACTACAACGGTAGGTAAGGAGGTAAAGTTCAGACATGTCTACTTTACTTAACGGACAAAGTGCGTGAACATTTACGATTGTGAGTTATAATTGACACAGTCAAGGTTACTTCATTCTGGCAATGATCAGAAGCGTAAGATTCATATGTGACTTCTCGGATCAAGTCTACATGAGACAATAGCTGCCTCAGCAACTTAGCTCATGAGCTCGCTGTCAGTGCTGTGATTTGATCTTAAACTCCCGCATATTTGTCCGGTGTGTTTTCTGGATTTCTAAAGTGGTGTGGAAGGTAATTCCGAAAGTGGCTGAAAGTCTTTGCAGTTACAGTCCTCTACCTTTTTCTCGATAGAGATATTCTCAGCTGAACACGTTTTAGTACAAATCGCAATCCCGATCCGCCGCCCTCCTTTTCGTGTATATTCTTTTTTAGAATAGTTCTCCAAGCCGCCAAGAACCATTCTTAAAGGGGTGTTGCTGTGAGCCACTAGACCCGCTATGTTTTTGTAGGCGATGTGGTTGTTCTCGCCTTTCTTTGCGCTCAGTGCCTTGGTCGTCCCCGTGCGTTTTGATAGCGTCATCACAACAACACCGTTAGTTTTACCACGTGAACCCTGTTCCTACAGTTTGCGGTTGAATTAATTTTTTCGGTGCTAGAACGTCGTTTTCTTTGTATCTGCATTCGTAATGCTCCAGCATTCGAAAGCCGAAAGGGCCTTTTTTCTTAACCATTTTCGCCGAGACACACCAACGAGAAATGAAGTATCTGATCAGGGCGGGCCGAAATTGCGGCTGGCCTACAATTAATAAATGGGCAATAAAGCCGGCGGCGAACGACGCACAAACTTTGGGGCTCTGGCGACCACGGAGAAAACTTGTTCCCGGGGAGGTGCGGCTCGGCCTCCCCCCTTCTTTTTCCTTCTTTCCTGGGGGCGGGCCGGTGTGTTTCTTTCCCCCCCCCCTCCTGGAGGGCAACTTGGGGGATTAGCCTTTGGCACGAACCATTTTACCATGCACAAAAACAAACATAACCAACTAAACTACCAAAGAAAGAGAAATCCCCCAAAAAAACATAATAGGCCCCCCCCCTTAAAATGTAAATTTCGAAAAACCATACACCCCCATCGCGGTACATGGACATTAGAAAAACCAACAAAGCAGCACACCCATAGGGGGGAAAATCTGCGTCCCCGTTGTCTTTGTTCTTGCCCCGCTCTGGTCAACAATAAAGCCCTGGAAAATGCCCACCAAGAGTAAACCTAGGTCAAGTTAAAATCATCCCCAGAGCGATTTATCTTATTCTTTTCCCCTACTTTGAATAATAACCACTCCCCTCTTTTGGGGGTGATCCCCCCCTCTCTCAAATTTATCATTCCGACTTCAGAAACAACTAATCCCAAGGTTTACAATCCGGTCGTCCAAAAACCTAAAACAACCCAACCTCGCTCACTATACAACACGGTTCCGCAAAGCTATTTTCCATTGGCTACCTGCTTGCCAAGTTCCAAACAGAATAATATGTTCGTTCCCTTAACACTCAAGACACTTCTTTTTTACCCAATGCAAATAGAAATGAAAGTCCCCCCCCATATATCAGAAGTGTGGCCCTCACCATGGTGGGCGCCTCTCTCGGCGCCCCCTTTCGTGGTGGTTCTTATAAAAAATGAAAAAAAGGACACTAGCACCACTCTTCACACCCACCTGGTCCGTAAAGAAGACTCTCCAACGCGAGTTCAATAGAAGGAGGAGGTTTAATTTCAATTTGGGGCGTGATATAGATAAAATAACCACAGTTATGCCCTCCCCTCTCCCCCTCCCCACCACACCGGCCACAAGAAATAAACAAAAACCAAATCGAAAAAAAAGATTGACGCAATAAGTGTTGGTTGGCAAACATAAGAGAAGTAAAAATAAGAAAAAAAAAGAACCCCCGGCCAAACGAGCGCGCCCCCCTCCCCCACTTAATTACTTCCTCTCTCAAATCCCCACATTGGTACAGTCTTTTCTTTCTTAGAG